AGTATATGGTATAGTCTCAACTTACTTAACTAATTTATCTTACTATTTGATATAATCTTGGTAGCTGTTTGAGAACTTTTTGAAAATAAAAAGGGAACTTAAATAGTAAGCATTATATTTATCTTCTCATTAACTAAAATTACAATTTCTGGCTACATAAAAGATTTCTTAATCCGCATCCACTAAATGAGAGATAAGATTGTAAGTTACACCCCTCTTAAGAAATAAATGAATCAATATTTATTGTGGCTATTCCAATTGATCTTGTGCTCATGGTATCTCTGTAATGGACACCACATGTACACATCCAATGAATGCAATCAAAATTAATGATTGTTTTCTGAAATAAACTGCCTAATATCATAGAATCCTAAGGAAGGAAAGGTTGCCAACAGAGTATACAAAATTATCTCTGGAAGATCACTTCTTACTTTTAAAAATATCTCCAGCAATGGGGATATTTTATTATTCTGAAGAGGCTTTATTAACTTCAGTATTCATTGTTGTCAAAACTTGCACATAAATTCTTTCATCTCTAAAATTCAGGAATCCTGTCGCCTTGAGTTTTTAGTCCCTTTCTTCTTTCTTCCTGTGAATATCTGGTCCTACTTGACAATCATAGATGTATTGGAAGACTTTTAAATTTTCAACTTGGATAATCATAGCATTTTTTTATACTAGATCCTTTCTCCAATTTTTAGCTACCATCCTAGAAGGCAAAAATAGGCAGAGTTATTAGTATGTTGTTGACAGGGAAAAACCATGTGAATTTCAAGATAGGGTTTTACATTTCTTTCTTACATCATGATAGTTAGTACTTAAAAATGCCTCATAATTCTCTAATAGCATAGGCATTTCTCTTTTGCAAGTTAAAACTTTTAAGATTAATTATTAAAAGAAAGTTTTCTTGCAACATCTCGAATTGGTGTTTTTGAATTAAATGTTTTCATTCAATTTAAAAATGCACACTACCATAATATCCAGAAATAAATATTTGCATGTATTGATAAAAGTATATATTATATCCTTAAAAAAATGTTGAAGTATTAAACTGAAAAATTGAATCCCATGGGTTTATTTCTTCCTGTTGTTTTCATTTTCCAAGTTTCAGGGTACAAGTTTGCATTATTTAATTCTACCAGTTTAGTATATCTTATAAGACTTATGTTCTTAACAGCATATGCTTTTCCTGAGTAAAGTCATCTATTATTATTGCAAAAGTATGTATCCAGATCTGTCTTCTATGTCCTCTGAGTGCCTCATATTTGATAAGTCCCAAACTGAAGACATTATCCTTGACCCTTCCCGGACTCTTTCCTGACTCTCTCATCTGGCTTCCCCGTTCTAGTAAATAACACCTAGTAAATAGCACTGAAACATTGAATTAGGACAAGTCCTGCACTCCAGCCCTCCCTGAAATCACCAGTCCAGTCACTTACCAAATTCATATTTTCTACTTGCTTACCCCCATAATTCACTTTCTGACCTATGATTTTGAAATGCTCTTTTCCGGTTTCACCCCGCTACATTCATCTATCTTTACATTGCTACCAAAGTGACCTTTCTAAAACATATTTGTGATGCTCTGAATCATCTGCTTATTGAGTGGATTTCATTACTTAAGGGGAAAGTTTACATTCTATCGTGACACGTGTCTTTTTGATTTGGCCTCATTCTCCCATTTTGACTTCTGATCTAATTCCTTGTAACTAGTTGCAGTTTTACCACATGACTTTCGTAGCCCTCATTTGTCATCCTTTTGCTCACACTCCCCTGTCTAGAAACCCTTCACACTCTCACTCTGTACTTTGTCAAATTTTCAAAATATGCCCCTATATTTGCAGCATTTCCTGAGCTTCCCAGGCAGAATTGACTGTTTTCTCCTTTGTGCCCTTATTGTACTTTATTTATTTTAATTGTAGAACTCATGAGTTATACTTTTCTTATTTGTTTTCATATATTTCTACCACGACTTGAATATAGGTGAAAAATCTTTCTTCCATTTCTATTTTTAGATTCTCCTTCCATATGGTTTGATAAACACAGTGAATGTTTGTAGTCTTATGAATGAGCTAATGAGTGGGGGCATGAGTGAATAAATACATTTTCTGAAGTTTTTTTTTTTCTTCCAATAGGAGGGAGCAAGAAAGCCAGCAACTGGAAAAAAAGAAACAAGTGGTATTGGTATTATTGACAGTGCTCCACGAGAGCCAAAAAGTAATGACAATTTTATTTTTGTGTGCAAAAATAAGGGTGGTAAGTTCGGGAATATCTCTGAAAAATTTTCAATGCTTAAATGTTATTTTGAAAAAACTGGTGGGTAGACCCAGTTATAATATCCATTTCTTGTAACTATTTTTCTTTTGCTATCTTTCTTTATACTTCTAACTTCTTCTTCCTGAAACTGCCTCAACCTTCTGAAATGCTTTTTTGCTGTGACTTTTGTTTTATTGAAATAGTCAGGAATGGAGATAGACTTGCATGTGTCCTTAAAAGTCACAGTAATAAATTCTCTCATTAACATATCTGTGAATAACATTTTATAGATGTAACATTCACGTTAGGATCAGAAGAGGAAGACATAGAATTAAGTTGGCAGGTACTGTCTCTTGTTGTTGTTGTTGTTATTTTTTTTTAACTATAAGCATTAAGTGATGTTAACACATAAAAGGGGATTCTTTGACTTTCCTTTTATTACCTGTGCATATGCCCATAAAGAAGTATTTTCTTTCGTTTTCAGCCCATAATTAATAAAGTGATTATGGCTAAGAAAGTTACTGCTGCATAATACAGTTCTGCTAATTTGCA